AAACTGCGTTAACGTACCTGTGATACATGGTCTATATAATCTTTATAATAAGAATACGATCATTGTATCGACCATTTATTGTTCTTTTTGTATTGTTCTTGGCTATTTCTTTCATTAGCTAATAAAGATGCTCTTCGTCATGGACCATTTTCGGTGACTTGTAAATCAGATCATAAAAAGGTTTTAAAACACGCGTGTCACCATGTTGTTGAGCCGATTTCGAAAACCCCTAGAAACAATATCTGGAAGTTACTTGTAGAATTCCCTTTCTTTACCGGATTTACATGCGCGATTTCTAAAATATATAAAATTTTAATCCACGGTGGATACATAAAATTTAATATGTTCATGTACGTACGTACATGCGATAGGATCTCTTGCAGTATGGGTGACACCTATTCTAAATACAATTAATTATACATTTTTGTGGTGTCACCTATACTGCAAGAGATCCATGCGTTATTTTAATTTATCGATTCAGAAAATTCGATTTAGAACAGTAGGAAAAATCTTGTTTACATTGTAAATCACATATAAGTTACAAATATATGAGTGCCGCCAAAAGAAAACTGACCATGGTTTTTTTTGACGTTTTTACTAAAAGTAGTATCGCCAAAATAACTAGAAAAATCTTTACGCGCATGCGTATCACAAATGTCAGGAACTACGTCCGATACGTTTTTATACAAAATAACTATGCTCAGATTTTCTTTTGACGGCATTTTTAGCTAACATTAAAATAAAGTAGTTCAAGCAAATAAGTTTATGTAAGTTATATTGCAACTTTGAATCGGATTAAAAATGATATTTGAGGTTTCCTTTAAAATTCACCTTTGCTCTTCGACTAAAACAATTCTAACTATAAATTCTAACCAAAATTCCTAAAATCTAAAAATGCGTTAAAAATTTTTGTTTATCATGACGACGCGTAAATTTCAATTAAATAAGATTAGTTTTAATCTGGCATTAATATATATATATGTCGTGCCTGAAGCTGACTCCCGCCCGAAATTGTAATTTCAGGCGCCTGAAGTTATAATTAACCTCTGAAATTAGATTATCTTCCACGCATTAGTTAGTAATTTTTAATTTTAGGCGTAACTGAAGTTGCAACTTCAGGCACGAAATATTTATTTGTATATTATTACGTATTAATAATAATTCTATTTCAAAAATTTAAATCACACCATGGTGCTTAACACCATATTATTTCTATATATAACAAATATGTTGTTAAAATTTCGAATTATAATTAGAAATTATAAAATTAGAAGTTATAGGCTAAAAGTCAGTGTTAAAAATGTTAAGGTAGAAGTTTTTTGGGACGCTGAGCATTATTGCTTAGAAAATAAAGTATTAATTACTTGACTAGTTTTCGAGATATTGCAATTGTGGTGTTAAGCACCACTGGTGTGATTTAAAAGAGCCGATTTCTATTTTATTACAAAAATAATTCATTTAATCTAATATATACATCGAAAAGTTCTGTATTTATACAAAGGGTTAATTTTATACTACAGTCAAATATCGATGTAATGGAAGTGTTATTTGAGTAGATTTATAACTTGCGTTTTATTATACGTAATTTTAAATGATAAAATGCATCTTAAAAGAGATGCAATCTAGATATAAGCCATGCTAAAAAATAACAATATAAACATAGACTATGTTAGCTATGTCAAACTAATATGTAAAAATCCACTAATTTCTGAAAAAAAGAAATAAATTTAAGAAAAAAAATGTTCATATAAAGTTATCTTATCATGTTTTAAATTATGATTAAATTATGATTAAATAATTCAATCTTTTTTAAAAAAGCAAATTAAATTATACTAGCAAACCAATTTGGCAAAACCTTTTTTACCACGTCTTTATCAACCTCTATCATTCTTTCATTATCAACTCTTCCGATAGAATGGCATCCACTAGTAAGGTGTCTACAAATAGCATCATAACTGTGTAACCTCTTAGATGACTTCCAACAAAGTTTGCAAACAAACAATTCTTTGTCTTCATCATCAAATTGTTTAGCTGCCAAATTGATACATCCTTTAACGGTTGTGAAAGGTCCGGGACGATTAATTTTGGACTTCTTAATTAATCTACGGGCTTCTTTACGAAGTCTTGGAATTAAAGTTAGAATCAAGAATTCATCCGTCCATGGAATTAATGGATCATTATTAACAAATGGAGGGTTACAAAACGAAGGACACCAATGAAGACAGTCGATAACCGGATCAGATATGTAAATTTGATATCCAGAACCTGGAGGAGTATTTATAGCACAAGAAAGTGTATCATAAGAAGTAATAAGAGATAAAATCGCGTTCGTGATTTGTTCGAGTCTCACTGTTTTCTTCATTAATTCTGTATATTCATTTTTCAATTTTAAAATGAATGTTGGCCATGGATTTGTCATGAATGGAATTCTATAAACTTCTTTT